AGAGGCCGTGGGGCGCCTGCTCGCCCCCGGGGCGGCGGGTGGGTCGGGGGTTCTCCTTGTTTGAACTCTTGAGACGTTTCGTTTTCTTTCTCCCCCTAACTTCTCCTGCAAGGCTTGTGGTGTAAAAACAGCTGGTCAGGCACCTGTGAGGTTTCTCGTGCGTGTTAGGCTGAGGTCGGCGCCGTGTCCGGGCTCGGGACCTTCTCAGGGCCGCGCAGTCGCGGGAGCAAAACCCTGTCCTTGAGGAAACGTTCCCATCCCCGATGGGAAAGGTGGCTTTTAACGGACGACTGAGCGTGGCTTAGTAAAGGCAGGTAATTAATTCAATTTGAACCACGTTGACAAAACTTCAGTACGGAGCTGAACTGTAAACAGTAGAAAATGACACTTAAATAAGGTATTTCCAAGGTAAACACAGACGGCGTGAGTTACAGGGCTCTGATTTCCAGCTCGTTTGGAGAGCTGGTGTTGACACGCAACAAATGTTCCAGGTTTTTCTTGGCCCCATCCTAGGCACCGAGGCTTGCTGAGACTCTTCCTGTGTTTGTAAGGCCAGGGATGGTGGGTGTGCTTGCAGCCTGCGACAAACATAATGACTGAACAGAACACACATTTTGGGAGTTTCCTAATGGAAAACTTAGAAACACAGTTATTCAGACTACTTGCAAGTGTGAATGTTAGAGAAGAGGAGGCTGGTGCTGCCAAGCTGGTACAAGCTAGGCTTTGTGACAGCGATGAGAGGGAAGGTACTGGGATAGCTGCATAGGTTAAAACTTCCTGTTGCTAATCCGTAGTATGTATACGTTAAGTTGGGGTAAAACACACAATGCAAGCCCCTGTTTTTTGCTTACGCTGAGTGTTTATACTAACGTAACTGTTGATGTAATTACACGGCTGAAAACTTCTCTAGTCTATGCAAGACACCAGATTTTAGAAAGTTAGGGAGAAGCAGCTTATTGAATGACGACCGAACATTTCACGTTTGCTTGGCATGAAATTCTTTTCTGGTTATTGGTACAGTCTCCATCCGGTTGGGGTGATGGGAGCCTGCTGCTTGTTCCCCCGCACCTAGAGAGAGTCGATGACTTCGTTTCACTCCTCTGGAGCCTTGTTATTCCCTAAGCCTAACCAATAACAGGTGCATACCACTGTATATGAGTAAGAAAGCTAAACGGTTCAAGTGATTGCTGGTGAGAGAAATTGCTACAGGGGAAAGCATCAATTTGTATTTCTTTTTTGTGTATGTTTTAAAAGTTTTCATTCCGTCTCTTTTCCCCTTGATCCCTTCAGAAGCAGACAAAGCTAAAGCAAGCTATCTGAAATCCTGTGTTTCTCATGCGTTGAACGAACAGGCTCTGGAGGAGGGATCTGGTGCTTAGTGCCTGATCTGTGCCTTGTGCTTCCCTGCAAGGGGGATCAGGAGGAGTGGGAGAAGGGGAAACCTGGGAAAATGCAAAACAAGAAGAGATGGAAGCTGCAAAGTAGTCTTGGGAGACGGTCCATTTGAAAACCATCTCTGTTAACAGAGAGGGACTATTGTCCAGTGTTCCTGGTACAAACCCATAGGTAAGTTGCTTTGTTTTCTGTGACAAAGAGCAGACTTTTCCACTCTTGTGAGGGAGTGGGTAGAGCTGCAGTTACGTTCTTTTGCCAAGGGTAGCTGTGAGGGAATGCAGTCACTGCACAGATCCACTTTAGAGAGGAAAGCAAGAAAGAGACAGGAGTTAAGCTGATGCATGTTGTTTGTTCCCAGAACAGTTACAGAGTGGCTCTGGAGAGCATGTAAGGTTCCTCCATCCTGGAGGAGCTGGATCTGCAATAGCTTTCGCAGTAAGAGCAACAGGGGCATGTTCCTCCTTTCTGGCTTTAAATTAGATCTTGACTGGTCTAGGACCTCAGTGATTTGATGTGGCAACTTGTCGTGGGATTGGACCCGTGATGTTGGACATCACTGTCTTTACTAGGCTCGGGATGGGGAGAGCGAGTCATGGGTTCGCACCCAGGCCAGGTTCAGGCTGGCGATCATCATGTAACAGGGGGCTCCATAGGGTTATTTTAGCACTCAGCTTATTTTCCAGTTTGCTAGTGCCGTGTTGCAGAAACAGCTTTGTAGTGGACCCTAGTGTGCATCCTTACTGGCTGATGTCTTTGAGCTAAACTTGAATGTAAGTGCTTTGCTCCTCAGTGGAGGCTCTTCCTTCTGATTCTAGCAAGGAGAGGATGAAAGTGCGTTCCCTCTGATGTGCAGAAACCTCTAATTTGCGCTCTCAGTCTGGTATCTTTTATGAAGCCCTTGGGAAGAGGATGTGTCATAATCAATAGAGTAACTCTCCGAGTAACTTCTTTTTGCAGAAGACACCTCATGAGGGGAAATTAGGTTGCACTGTTGTTCTTTTCCAGAGTTCCCCTCTGGCACTGGTAGAGTTAATACAAGCGGAGTCATTTTGATTCTCTACTGATCGCCGCTGTGTGTGTCGGAAAAGCAGAACACTCTGGCAGGCCTGTGTGCTGTGTCCTGGAAAGCAGGCTTGAGCCCTTGGGGTGCGCTCAGTAAAGCGACGTTATCGTGGTGGCTTTGACGAAGACCGTCCTTCTCTTTACCCGAAGGAATGCGTGTGCGTTGCCCGTGCCACACACGACGCCTTGGTTGCTTCCGTCGCTGCTGAGAGGGTGATCTGTCCACGCTGGAGTGGGACAGCCTTGCGGAAACGTGGGCAGGCTGCTGCAGTGCCTGAAGCTGTGGAAGCTGCTGGGTACAGAGAAGGCAAAAAGAGATGCTCTTTGCTGCTTTCCAGAATTACTGCATTCCAGCCACCCTAAAGGTCCCAAACAGCATTGGAGACCCATTGTGCTGGGGGTTATACGCACAGCGGGCACTGCATTCATCCAGAATAGGAAGCAGTCCCTGCCTTGAACAGCTAATAGTCTTAAAAGCGAGAACAGATTCAGGCAAAACACAAAACCAGAAACCTGCCAAGCAGTAGACTTGGCAGCGTCGCTCCATTATCTGCTGTCGTTGGGCTGATATGCTTGGCCTTAAGCGCTGACGCACATATATCCTTTGCCCCTTCTTTAACTCTTTGCTCGTTGTTCTGCATGGTTCTTCTCGGATCTGTCCTCAGTCTTAACTAATGAAACGTGGAGAATTACTGCTGAGTAATACCTGCCTCTTGCTCCGCAATGTGTTATGTCTGCAGTTCTTCCAGCTCCTCTTGACACGTAGATTAGAAGCTTGAATCCACAAAACACGATATTTGGAGTTGCAGCGCAAGGCCATGTGTTAGGTCACCAGCTACACTGAATTTCTGGCTTGCTCTCCCTCCTAAACGTAAACAAACACACCAGGGTGGAAAAACCCCAAACCTTCAGTTCTGCGTTTTAGGTCTTTTGGGACAAACTGAGCTAATACTTTGATATCTGATGGTATCCAGTATTGTTCTTCTGTTTATTAGCAAATTCTGATCTAATGTTTTTGGTCCAGCATTTGAAACCAGGACTTTGATTGCTAAAATCTTGCATTCCTGAGGTTTAATCTCAGCGTCGCTTGGACAAGTCTCTTAAATTAAGGCCTCTGTGAGCTTCAGAGGTACTGAGCAGATCTCCTTCTGCTCAGTACCTTGTGCATATCTGGACTCTCAGCTTGTTTGCATCCCTGTACGGCATGGGGCTGATGCTGTTCAAGAGCTGCATGTGAACTGGCTGGGGGACAATGTCTGGGTTTGGGGGGGAAGAGGGTTTTTACTTTGAAAAGCCTCCTTTCAGGACTGCTTACAGGTTTTGTTTTCACAACTGATGCTTGTAGGGCTTGTTTTGAGGTCGTTACACAGAACAGGGATGTCTGCAGAAAGGGTGACTCTTGTTTTGTATCTGTATCTGCTTTTCTATGCTTGTAACCAGGTGCTGGACTATGCCTGGAGGGGAGAGGGGGGTTGCAGAGTGTCCACTGCTTTATATGACTTTTGAGGTTAAACCTTGCAGAGAGAGACTGTGTAAAACAGCAAACGTGGATTCTCTCCCAAAACATCAGGTAGCTGCTCCTCACTCTAATGCATTATCCTTCCCTGCCTGCCTGTGCCTGCTCCATGGTCCCAGGGGGCTTTAGGACTCTCAGACCTGTTAAACCTTGGGACCACCTGGTGAGGAGCGTGAGAAGAGCTTCACGTTTGTTTGCCGGGCAGGGAAATGGAGGCACAGATGCACTGAAAAGATGAGAAGTAAAAACAAAACAAAAAGCAAAAAAACCAAAAACCCCAAAACTGCTGCACCATCCAGAAATGGTGTTCTTCACTCCCTTTGTAACAATGATTTCCCACTTGTCATTGGTGATCAAGAGTTATTAGGGATGAAACATAAAAGACGTTAAGCCGGGAAAAGAGATCTTGACTCAACACACAGTCCAAACATTACTAAAGCATCCTTGATCTCGGGTATCGTTCGATTAAAATAACCATTCCTTTGGATTTGTATTGATGCTTGGCTTTTACTGGGGCCATGTCCCTTCAAGGCTTTCTTAGGAAAGCTTTTTATTTAATGACTGTTGTTGATGCAGTGGAGTAGCTACCAGGAAAAGTCATGGCGGCAGTATCTCCTGGGTGCGTTTACACTGGTTAGGTCAGATGGGGCATTCAGGTCAGTGGCGTACTCTGGACAGGAGCCTGCTCTGACCCCTGAGGCAATGGCACCCACAGCAGCATGTTGAATCTCTGATAGGGCGTTTATTTTCCACGCATAGGTACAGAGCATTCTCTTGAGGGACATGAGACCAGTGTGATACCAAATCTTAAAATGATGGATCAAGCCCCCCTTTCTTCCTGTTGTGCGCTAGATGTATCTAAAAATCAAGGAGGTCCGAAAGATAGTTGGTTCTGGATGTTTTCTGCATGTAGTTGATTTTTTTTTTTCAGTACTGTCAAAGTTTCCTCTGCAAACTTGAGAGCTGAAATCTGAATATTTTATTCTGTTAGTGAAAGCGGTGTCTCATGAAATCACATGACTCCAGAAGTTGGAGGTTGATGAACACAACATGGTTGCTGTGGAAACTGATAAAACTGCAACATGTTGTGCCTTCTTTTGTGCAGAAAATTGGAGCCTTCAATCAGTTACAAGTTGGGGTCTGAGGCCTCATGGAGGCCAAAAGATCCAGTCTTAACTCTGTCCCTTGGTTTGTAGGACCAAGTGAATTTTTTCCTTCTCCTGGACAGAGGAGTTGGTGAGAGCTGGAGCAGCAGCTGAGGGCTCTAGTCTGCCTTAGGGGTGTTTTGAGTGCTGATGTCTCCTTCTGTTCAGTTGCAGAACCAGACACGCTATTGGCACTGCCGAGGGAAGATCTACGGGAAGGGAAGTCAAGCTTTGTCTCTAAGAGAGTCAGCGCTCTCCATGTGGTCTTTGTGGGCACCTGAGGTTCACAGAGCTCTTCCCATGCAGAACTGGACAGTCAGCCCCATGCAGAGTCCTGATCCTGCAAAGTCATTCTCTCCAAACCAGAGCGCTTGAGGGATCAACTAACCTTATTTCTGGTACCTTTCCAGGCTCCTGGTCTGCAGCACCATGCTGGAACCCAAGCCTCACTCTGCAAGCCGGAGGTGAACTGATGTGAAAGCCAGCTATCACAGTAGCTGTCAGGATGACCAAAGCACGGCTCCTCCGTCTCTCTGTGGTGCTGATCTCCATCTTCATGATCCTCCTGATCATCGTGTACTGGGACAACGTGGGAACAGCTCACTTCTACCTGCATACGTCCTTCTCCAGGCCTCACTCCCCAGGGGCCATCCCTGGTATCGCTGAGGGTGCAGACTGGGAAGCCTTGCCAGATGTGGATGAATTTTTGGCAAAGCTGCTTAGTTCGAGCCTGAAACAGAACAGCTCTATCAGCAAAAAGACAGAGCAGCCACTCCTCCAGGGCTCCAGCAAGCCTGCGGCAAGCAATTTGGAGGAGAATGTGCGAGGCTATGACTGGTCTACACGCGACGCCAGAGCCAGCTTGGACCAAGAAAAACTGCAGGTAGAGAGGCAGAGAACGCTGCGGGAGTTTTGTGCCAATTCCAGCTTTACCTTCCCCACCAAGGAGCGCTCCTTTGATGACATCCCCAACTACGAACTCAACCACCTCATCGTGGACGACCGCCACGGCATCATCTACTGTTATGTCCCCAAGGTGGCCTGCACCAACTGGAAACGAGTGATGATTGTGCTAAGTGAGAGCCTGCTGGACCAGGGGGTCCCATACCGGGACCCTCTGGATATCCCGCGGGAACATGTCCACAATACCAGCACCCACCTGACTTTTAACAAATTCTGGCGCCGCTATGGGAAGTTCTCCCGGCACCTCATGAAGATCAAGCTGAAGAAGTACACTAAATTTCTCTTTGTACGGGACCCCTTTGTCCGCCTTATATCTGCCTTTCGCAGCAAATTTGAGCTGGAGAATGAGGAGTTCTACCGGCGTTTTGCCATTCCTATGCTAAAGCTCTACTCCAACCATACCAACCTCCCCACCTCAGTCAGTGAGGCCTTCGGGGCAGGCCTCAAAGTCTCCTTTTCTGACTTCATCCAGTACTTACTGGACCCCCGGACAGAGAAGATGGCCCCCTTCAATGAGCACTGGAGGCAGGTTTACCGGCTGTGCCACCCGTGCCAAATAGACTATGACTTTATTGGGAAGCTGGAGACGCTGGATGAGGATGCTGCTCATCTGTTGCAGCTCCTCAAAGTGGACAGGCTGCTTCGCTTCCCCCCCAGCTACCGGAACAGGACTGCCAGCAGCTGGGAGGATGACTGGTTTGCCAAAATCCCGCTGGCTTGGAGACGACAGCTCTACAAGCTTTACGAAGCAGATTTTGTGCTGTTTGGCTATCCCAAGCCAGAAAATTTGCTTAAAGATTAAAAGTGATTGGATGGTAGGGGTGGGAGGGAACATCTGAAATACCAAAAATGTCTAAAGCCTCCTCATTTTTGCTCTTAACTCCCTTTCTCATACAGGTTGGTACAATGGAATCTATTTTTTCTACTGCTTCCCCTTCCATTTTTGCAATAA